GCTTTAGATGTACATAAAAATATCTATATATATATATAAGTATGTGTATGATAAAGCCGAATTTGTTATTCTCAACCAAAATATTAAAAAATTTGTTATACAAAAAGACTACGTGTGTCCGAAAACTGTATTAGTGTACATATAAAATACATTTTTATCAATCAAATGGGGCTTAAGATTTTGAAAGCTTTGCAAACGCACAGCTGTTTTCAGTGACTAACATCGCTCTCTCTTTATCACTTTGTGAATAGAAGAGAGCGTCAGCGCACGCTTGTTTGCAGCATTTCACAAGCATACACAAAATGTTGCGGAGCAGCGCTAACAGCAATGTGACCAGGCACACACATTTGTGCAAATTATAGAAAATAAACTAAAGCTTTGCGCACATGTATAAATTCCCGATATACATAAAATGTTGCTTGAGATGGAGCAATAATGTTGCCAAGGCATTTGCAGCTCTGTTAAATGTTGTAATGAAATGTACTAAAAGTTTCACTTAATTAACATATATTGATAAATTCATATTTATAAATTTATTTATTTATGTATATTTATTTTCATTCGTTCCAAGTATTTTCAATTTCCCCTTAACTTCATAAATTTATTCAGACTCCTAAAAGTTGAGCGAGATTTCATCAGCACTCATCACAGTTTTACAATAAAAGCAGCCCTATTGCAACACACTTTACTAATTACTGAGTATTAGTCACTAATCGCACAGATCTTTATTTAATTTATTTATTTGTGTTTTTACTCTTGAATAGATCGACCAACCTCGACAATGCTTTCTGAGCAACTGAGCCAAGACGCAACTACGAACTCAACTGCAGCATCGACTGATGTAATCAGAGCGCTGAGCGCGGCAATTCAGTGAGGGCAAATGTAAAACACATTTCGGTGCAGAAGGAGAGTGGGAGTAAGAGAGAGGAAGAAAGAGGGCGAGGAGAGGGGGAAAGTTGTCGTCTACTCGACAACTGTGACGTTCACTTTCACTTTCGCTGCGTGGCGTGTGCGGCGCATGCTTAAAACTTTGACATTGGACAAGGTCACAGGCAACATGTTGCCGCGGCGAATTTGTGACGTGTTGCTTACGAATCGGTTAAACAATCATAAAGCGCGTGTGGCACAAATGAGAGAGAGAGAGAGAGAGAGAGAGAGTGAGAGAGAGAGAGAGATAGAGAGTAGTAGAGCACAAGTGTCATATAGAGAAAAAGTTTTAGATACAACAAAGTTGCTACGATGCTTGCTTGACTTGTTTGACATTGAAAAGAAGCACGCACTACCGCACGAAAAGGTATACAATGTATACATATACATATGCATATATAGTGTATATGTATATAGGTAAATATACAAACTGATTAAAGCCTTAACAGCAGGGCAAGTGCAGTCTAACAATTGTTGACTTGATAAATATTTGATACATTTGACAATATATTGCTCTAAAGTTGCGATTAGTTTTTAGTAAAGCTGATTCACTTAGTTTACACACACCTACACGAGCCGGCAATCTTTCGAAAACTGAACTGCAGCTAAAAGAAACTCAACGAAAAGTTATATGAAAACAAAAAAGAGACGCATGATAGCAGACAAAGGGAACAACAACAAAAACAACATAAATTAACGCTATCAGAAAAAAGACACAAGCGCACACACACACGTTGTATGAAAATAAAATAGACACATGTGTACACATATCGCATAATGGCAGCGGCTGCGAGTAAAAAAAAAAACAAGTTGATAAAATGACGAAAAAAGAACAAAATTAAATTTTCGAAAATTATGGAAGCTTTGGAAGCATCAAAATAGTCTGCTGCCTGCGCTGTCGTCAGGCGGTTAAACATTTAACCTTCGACTAAAAAAATAAAAATAAGCAAGCGAGCCCCCCCTCATTTCACTATGGCTTAAGTTATGCTTATCTCCCAATCCGACCCGTTCGGGATGTTTTCGTAGCTGCTCGACTCAATAACAGGCCCGGCCTCCCAGACAAGTAGCAATAGGTCAAAAGAACATAAACACGAACTGCGTCAGCAGCTCCAAAAGAAACTGATGATCCAAAGGGCACGCAGAAGTGTGGTTGAGAGAGAGAGTGTGTGTAGAGAAAGTGAAAGAGAGAAAGAGAGAGAGGGAGAGAGCGCGTGTGTTTAAAGGGCGTTATATTGTGAATGAATAGGAAAAGCTGTAGCAAGAGTTTTGGAATAACTGAGCTGAATTGAAAATTAATATTAAATAATTATAATAATATATCACACATAATAAACAACGAGGTTACTCTATTTGATACATATATTTTTTTGCTTGGCAGCTAGTCTTCATAGATGAAATTTAAGTATTTCAGTTATTAGATATATATATATATATATATATATATATATATATAATCGCATATATATATATATATATATATATATATATATATATATATATATATATATGCGATTATATTCAATTCAATACGCATGTATATTTTTTGCTGCAGATAACATTGGAAGCTTCAAGCAGCGAAATCGTTTTCATTCACAAACTTGTTTTTTTGCGCATTTCAATTTAAGGGTAGTTAGCGTTACTTATTTTGTTATTTATGCTCATCTTATACGCTTCTTAAAATACTCTTATACTGACTATTTCTCTCTCTATCGTTGTCTCTGTTCCTCCCCACGGATCACTATCTTATGTAAAGCCATAGAACAAATATTCTTTTTCTTCATTTCTCTCGTGCTATCTCGCTTTCTCCCGTTTCTTATTTGTTATCATGTGCTAGAACAAAAGGTTTCTCAATGCTGCATAGCAAATGTCAATTGACGATGTCAATAAAGACGCCGCAATGACGACATTTAATTGAAAACTAAACGAAAGCTGATGAATAGATGCAAACTGACAATTATACATGATCATCTTATAAATGTGCTATGTATGTATAAGACTTGGGGCGACTATTTATAAAGCAATTTGCAGTTGAAGCGCTGCCAACAAGCAAACGAACTCAAGAGTGAAAATTTAGCTAAACATGTGGGTGGGGGAGGCGGGCTCAGCCAGTTAGACTGGCAGAGCACCGTTATACGATAGCTGAGAGCGTACTCAAGTTTCTTATCAACATTCAGTTGCATAGGTCAACGACGTTTCTTTATCGCAGCCAATGGAAACAGTAGAAACTTCAAGAGGAAATCGTAAAATAAGTCTAACTCATAACTAACAAGAATTTATTTTCCAATTAGAGGAAATTCCAGTTTGAAAAAATAGCACACACACGCAGGCAAACTACGAGAGCTTTCTGTAACTTTTTTCAGCTTAAAGAAACTGCAAAAAACTATTACGAAACCAACTTGGGTTGAGAACGAAAAAGTATTGCACTGATATAACCAGATTACGAACTGCACTTTTTCCCCCTTAATTGCTCTTTTTTATTTATATTTTATATTTATTATTTTTTTCACACACGTTTGCACAGACACACACTCACCGATCTGGAAAATGAAACTGTGTGGGTGTCTTCGGTTGCTTTGCTCCGCTCTCTGCTGCTTGGCTACCGGCTGGCTCTGCTGCTGCTGCTGCACTGGAGTTGAATTGGCGACGCTTTTATTTTCGGCTCGCGGCTGCGGCGGCGAGAAATTCCAAAGCGAAATAAGTAAAAGACAGCCGAATGTAAAACAGCGAAACGTCAAAAGGTTGTTTGGAGGTCGTTCGGTGTTGCCAAATACGCGCGAAACTTTGTGCCTAAATGTAAAATACCAAAAAGCTTTTAGTATCTAAAAGCCTATGAAGAAGCTTTCCAGCGGGTTTGTGACTAGCGCAGCATTTGCATATCTGCGGTAGAGCTTATTTAAAGCTTGCACTGCTTTCCAAGGTAATCTAATCTAGTGATGGCATTGAACTGCACTGCTTTGCACTGCTTGGCCTGTGGCGCTGCATTTTGAATTTAGGAAGTAATTTAATGAAATTTAAATATGATTTTAGATCAATTTTAATATATATATTTTATAAAAAAAAAAAAACATAAAATGCATGATGTAAGCATTTAGCCATTATATATTTTTTGAAATATTTTTATACGTTATTTTTCTATTTATTTATTTTTAAGTTAAGTTGGGATTGATTATGATTTGAAGGGCCTGCGATATATAATATATTCTAGAGCTTTTTGGCTCAAGTCACCAAATTTTTGGTGCACATCCTACCAAGAGATCGAGACAAGGAATCTGTTCCTTTTTATTTTATTTGGAGTATTTTAGTATATATTTGAGGTATTTCTGTGCCTGTACATTAGGCGTACATCGTCTTATTGAAGACATACATAATTATCTTATGAGAGTTAAGTTAAACCTTTCTTTCTATTAAATGTATTTAAAAAGTTATTATGAAAAGTACGGTTTCAGTGCCGCAAAACTGAATCGTGAAGGAATCGTTATTGAAGAAGGCTTACACACAAAAGATTGACCATTAAACTGCGTGCCTCCCTTTGGCAACCATCGCAGACACTAACAACAATAACGAAGCACTTGAAAACATGCCTGACCTCCAGCAACGTGGAAGGACTCAAGTCTGTTGACTAACTGCTTACGGAACAGCTGATGAAGCGAAACCACGAAAATCCCAATATTTATCAAGTATATTTTCGTAGATTGAGTGAAAGAGAAAAGTTGGCACGGACTCTCCTAGCCTACGGATTAGTTAAAGGAATTCCGTGATGGGTCAAACTAGAATTGCCAATTAAATCAATGAATCAGTTAATTTTTTCGCTTTTGCTCAATTGCAGATATCCTGTTCTTGTGTCTTCGTTCTGCTCTTATCTAATGCATAGGCCGACAGCAGCTTCACTCAAAGATGAGGAGGAAAGCGGTAAGTGCTCTGCTCTCTGTGGTGCTGGCGCTCTCAAACATTGAGCTCGTTCGGCCGCTTCGTGCGGTCTTCGTGTTGCATGGGACACTTGTCCCACTGTGCGGCGAGCTGTGTTCCACATTTGTCGCCAGTTTCAGTTTCAGTTCAATTTCGTGCGTCGGCCGGATGAGTTGTGTGGCAATCGCGCGGCTTTTCAACAACCACACGTGTTGCATTCGCCTCACAGGCAAACTCGCATACACTTACGTACACGGACGCACACAGACAGACGCACTCGCAAGCACGCAGACGAGCAAATTACGTTACGTATACGCCGTGGCTGCCATTGCCCTTAAGGCGGCAAGAGCGACAACAATTACGCGACTTTCTTGTCGTGTGTGTGAACCAAAGCAAGAAAATTATGTGAATTATAAGTGAAGTGCAAATAACAGCAACAGCAGCAGAGCAAGGAAATCGAAAACAAAACAAAACTGAAAAGAAACCTAAGAAAAAAATCAAATAAAACGAAAAAGAAAAGCAACGGCGAGACGACTAACAAGCGAAAGCAAAGTATTAAAGCTTAAAGTCACTGAGCGTCTAGGCGGCTGAGCATGTTAAACGCTTTGCACAATTCTGGTAAGCGTCCAGGCCCATAAATTGTAGCCCACAAATATAGAAACACACGCACACTATATCTATGTCTGTATGTATTATTTATATACCTTATACAGACGATATATATATAGTATTTATCTGGCAAAAATTGAGGGCCTGCGGTTCATATGCAGATTTTGTTGTTATTGTGGTTTTTTTTTCTTTCGTGGCAACCAAATTCGTAATATTGAGATATTGATGATTGCTTCGAGCAGCGCCCCGTTTCCATCCTGCCCCACATCCTGCCTGGCTGCGGCTGCGGCTGTGGCTGTGGCAGCCACTTCATTAATATGCAGCAGGCGACATGCGAATGCTGTGCGTTGTCAAGTCGCCCGCTGCCCAACCCCAGCCAAAAAGTTCTATATAACCAATACACACACACACACATTGACTTTAAATGGCACACACACAATGGGCGTGTGTGTGTGTGTGTGCGAACCTTTCGCTTGTCGTCTGCATTTGTTGAAATGAGTATCCCATAGCTGGCTGAGTTCGTCCTGCCTCTTGCTAACGATAATGTTGATTCTTGCCTTCCGCAACAATTTGCTTTGAACTTTGAGCTCAGACCGCAGACTGGCCCGCAGTCTTTATATTGCGCTTGTTGTGGCATTTGTAAAATGCTTGTTATCTCTCACCAGGTGCTTAGGGGGCGTTGCCATCGTTTGAACTGTCCACACTTGCCATTAGGGCAGAGCGTCGACCTGACCTCGACTTCGGAAGAGCCCAATTCCCTAGCTGCTACCTTAGTAGAAAATCTATCAAAATGTTTTAGCCATTTGCATTTTAATCATTTATCGTAATTAATATCGGCTTTGTTTTTATTATTGTTTACCCTGAGCCACTTTGGCTTTAACTCTGGACGGGTATTAAACTAAATTGACCGCATCAGCTTTGATTGTTATTTTACTTAAATTACTAATTCAAATTAGGAAGAATTTATATACTTAAAAGAGAAGATAATAAAGCTCGGGAAAAGGCTATGTAAAATTTAATATTCATATGACTTGCCCCAATAGCTTTTTTATTTTTATATAGATTCCTTGTATGGCGCTTGTGTTGTTGCGTTAGTTTGAGACTCTATTATGTTAGCTAACAGAAGATGAAATCCTTATCGAAATTTAATAATGAAAATGGGTTCCGCTTTTGTTTTTGAAATTTGAAGTTGATAATATATATCGAAAATATTTCATATGCTTTAAACACTTCAAGCACTTCCAATCAATGTATCACATGTCACAAAATTAGTAATTATTTTATATAAATTAATTTCAATGTAAATAATTGGCTATTGAATTACTTAAATCAATTTAAAATCAAATAAACACGTAAAATTATTCTGCATATAAATTATACAAATTACAGAAAAAATAACTTAATTTAAATGCGGGGCAAGTAAATAATAAATAAGAAAAAATTGTGAATTATATGTATGACATTATCAATGAAATGCAAGCATTAATCACGCGGAAAACGGCAAATTAAATTATAGAATTAAATTATATTATATCCCTGATATTTTTCATTTATAATACTTGCTGGCGATGGGTAAGCCCTTGAATTTAATAAAAACTATTTAGGCGAAACATTCCTTTGATTGCGGTGAGCACTTGTGTGAATCGCTGGCCTTTTTAAGCCTTTTAGAAATTTCTGTTTTTTCAAGCCGTGCATAAATTATGCCATAAAGAAACAAAAGGGCAAAGTACAGAATGCCAAGGCAAATCAAACAACGACCAAATGTTGTAAAATTATTTCAATTCATTCTTACGCACGCATGCCTTTGGGTCGCAGCTCCTTGGTAATTGGCATTGTATTGCTGCGGCTCTCGCATTTGTTTGCCTGCGCAAGAATTTTATTTTACTGCCAGCGAAATAAGCAAGAAAATAAGTTTAATACATTATATACATATAAAATATATATATATATATATATATATATATATATATATATATGTGGGTGTTTATTTTTTTTTTCATATTTATATATATATATATATATATAAATATGAAAAAAAAATAAACACCCACACAGCGCACAACATCAGCTGCTGCTCTGAGTTTTTACTTATTTCGCCTAAATTTTAAGAGTAGGCAACGCCGTTTGTATTAGGGGTATGCCTGCATTCAATTAATGTACGCCGTATGCTCATTTTGATTTCGCTTATTGAGAGTGGCATCAGATTGGCATTACGATAAATATATGGCTAAATATTTCGTGCTCAACTTTCACTTGATTCCTTGGCTTAATCATTTGTTCATTCAAGGGAGAGAAATGTTTGAGCTATCATAATAATTTATAGATAATAAAAACATGCAAAATAAAATATTAAAAAATGCAAATTAATATAAAAATATAATAATAAAAATAAAATAAAAATAAATATAAAATAGAATAAATAATAAAAAAGAAAATAATTGTAAAATATATAAATAAATAAAAAAGATATAGTTTTTATTTCTATTTATTAATTTAAATATCCTTATTTAGCCAAAATTTAAACAAATAAAATGCATAAATATATTATAAAAGTAGTTTTCAGTCGTTTTTATGTGATGACATATTGTATAGAATTTATATATAATAAACGAAAAGCAAATTTGAAAAGAATTCTTAAGCTGGCTTGGGCGCTGTTTGTGCGGAACAAAGATCAGCTCTGGCTATTGGTTTCCAATATTTCTTGAATTCGCTTTATGATGCTTATTAAAATGGAAAATTGTTGTAAGTCGAGCAGATGTGGTTACTTGAAGCTTTGTATGAAGCGCTGCAGGCAGCGTGTTATTATTGTTATTATTATTATTATGATTATTATAGCTAGGCATTCAGAGAAGCGAATTTGTTGCTGGTAGACACGGTGCTGGCATTTGCCTGGGTGCAAGGACTCGTGAAGCCCCCAAGGAATGCTCGAGCTGCGGAAAGTCAAGGCGTGGAAATTGCGAGGCAAATGGAAATTCTGTGCGACTGATGGCTGGCAACAATCCGTATTGAATGGAATTTGGCTGCTGAATGAATAGCAAGCGAATGAATAAGGGCAAATGAAAAGAAGCACCAGAGCACAGGCAACAGGACCAGCAATTTCTGGGGCTGCAGTGGCAGTGCGCGGGCAAGGGTTGCATCGTGTTTGATTATAAATAACGTTAAGTAAGCGCACATGAATGCATTTTGATTGTCTGTTGTAGTTTACGGCACGTTTCCTTTGCTTGCCATGAAGGACGACAAACTCGCTAGTCCTTTGGCGACTCAGCTCAGTCGCTGTGTAACTTCCTTAAATGCAGCAGTAGCAGCAGCGCTAATGTCGCAGGCAAAGAATATTTTTATTATTTTTTATTTATTCGCTTGCCACTTTGTATGAGAATCGCAACTGCAGTCAGGACATCGTAAGCGACATCAGCGACGTCGCATTTCCTTGCTGCAATTTTGCAACGCGCGTTACGCTTTTCTGCTACTTTTTTCGCCTCCTCGTCTTCTCTCTCTCTTCTTTTTTTGTGTACGTCGGTTATGCGCCGTTCTTTTTTGAGGCCATGCAAAATAATGTTTTATATGTTGCAATAAATGTACGAGTCTTCGCATTCCAGCACGGCGTATAGCACAGCGCACAGCCCAGCGCACCCACTTCCCTTATAGTCGCATGACATTCCCATGCCCATTGCCATTCCTTTTCCCCTTCCTTTTCGCATTCGCATTTACATTTGCGGAGGCAACGCGCATACGCAATGTTGTACGCAGTTATCCTTGCGCCCATTTTGTCTGGCTCGACTATGTTTGCTTCTGTGCTGCCCACTTGCCAACTGGCAGGCAACCGAATTCGGTGATCTACTAGCAAACTCCCAGAAGTAAATACACTTCAATTTCCACAAAAGACTTAAAAATATTGCAATTTACTGTTATTTGTGAACAAACAAAACACAAAATTTTTTTCCCTCAGGAAGAATATTTTTTTATTTTACAATTCCTTTATTCAAGCCAGCATATAGGCATATCTTTTTATCTCTTTGCCGCAGGCACGATTTCTGTGTCGTATTACTATATCGAGTAGCAAATTGATTTCAAAATGTATTATTTATTATTACTATATAAGCTCAGAGCTACAATAAGCTGTTAAATCTCTTCAGTCTCCAGTTCATATATTTTTTACTTAATTTCTCAGTAAAGAATTGCATCTTACTATAAATTTATCTAAAGACAGTTAACTTTATGATAGGTAAGTAGTATCGTGAGCTCTAGAAAATGTAGTTCAGAATATTAAACTAAATTGAGCATATAGCAAGGTCTGATATGAATTGAGGTCATACATCGTATAAAGAATATCGTATATTTCTTTTAAGATTATCAGATTTCAGCCGTAATAGCTTAGTTTGCATTTTGGTTTATTGTTGACAAAGACTTCAAATATTTACTAACCAATGTGATATTAAATTTAATTAATTTTATTTAGGTAACTTTGGTTTAAATCGCTCCTCGGCCTTGGCAAAATTTGATATTTTGAAATATTTGATGCAAAAAATGTGTTTAATTAAATTCATATTAATTCAAGTTGATTTCCCAGTTCATTTGTTGCTCGGGTGTTGCGTGAAACCCTAATGCATTCCAGTGGGATTCCCCATTTGCATTGCTTAACAAAGGAACTGAATCGAATGACAATTTAATTAAAGATCAAATGTTGAGGCCCTTTTCAGTTTCAGTCGGGGACATAAATGTTTAACGAAGCGTCTGAAATTTTTGATTTTTGCACTCGCTTTTTGTTTGTTTGCAGCTCGATTGTGTTGCTGTTAACCCAATGGGCGCTCATTTGGGACCCTTGTGTATCACGAATTGTTGTTGTTGCTGTTGCTGTTGGTCCTGTTGTTGTATTAATAATTCGTGCGTTGCGCTTCTGTCACGTTTCGCAGGACAAGCAACTCGCAGCGCGTTGTCGTTGTCCTTGTCGGCGTCCTTATCGACTTTGTCAATTTTTTGCATAATTTTTAGCTAAAGCAAAATGTTAAAGATGCCAGCAAGATATAAGTGTGACAGAGAGGAAGACTCGGACGGCAGCGGCACATAAGATATGCTCACTAAAGTTTGTCGAGTGGAATGTTTTCATTTTTGTGCTCAAGCAACAGACCATAAAAATCAACATACGAATTCATGCCTTCCGACTCTGTCCCTGTCCCCAAGTCCGCCTTTGCCACGCCCTTTTCCAGTCCCCTACACACATGTTTTTTTCAGTCTATTTGTATGCTCTACAAAATGCACATCAGCAGATGCCATACGAAGTTTGTGCAAATGAAAAACTCGTGAATTGCATAAAATAAGAAATAAAACAAAAGAAATGAAGATATACAAAATATTTGAAAATTTGGCATACGAATGGCAAGTTATCAGAACTAGATGTAGACGCTGTGATGAAAAACAGAAAATTACTTAGAAAATGAGATTATCATCGCAATCGAATTAATGTGCTGCAAAGCCAAGACTTTGGCCTTTATCAAAATTCTAGACCAATTTATATTTTTTATAATGTAATTTAAAGCAAAACGTGATTGTTTGTCGATTGCAAATATTTCGATGCTGGAAATTTCTCCACGAGACAACAATTAAAATTGATTTAAAGAAATTCAGAAAGTTAAATATGAATTTAAATGAAACTAATATTTGATTGAACTTATTTCAGTAGGGCAAAACTCAAAAATTAATATGTTTTTATTTGCCATGTCCCACTAGGCGGACTTTAGAATTTATAGGTCTAGCTGTGAACACTCTAAACTGTGGGAGATAAAGCTGCTAATGATTAGAGTTCATAGCTTACCCTATGCCGTCAACTGTTCTGTATGATATCTTGTCATCAGCCGCCATTGATAAAGATGTTTATTTCCGTGGTGTCAGCAGATATCTTGATTATAATTTTGAATTATTTCATAGACGAGGTTAATCCATATTCTGTTGTACTATTTCTAGCTATTAAGGTGTAGAAGAAACATTATTTTCTAATTAATTTTTGACTACTATTAACTTAAATATCAGAGCTTATGTTGTAATATGTAATATCTCCCGATTTGACGCGAACGAGTATATATGTCTTTCACAATAAGTTTCACGTTTGGATAGTTTGTAGAGTTATATTATATTTATATTTAATCACCCTCACGAATATACCTGCTAAACATATTTAGAAGCAGGTATTATAGTAAAAAGTAGAGTTTTGAGCAATCTTATAGCAATTGAACAAACTTCAGATTTAGCTGCAGCGCATTAAAGTCTCGCTCTCCACAACTTCTGAGTTCCACAGTCTTTTGTTGGCCGATGCCATTCAGCGACTCGCACTCGAAATTGCACTCGCATTGCATCAACCTGCGTGCACATAAACATCTTTATATATGCATCACTTAAGTTGGAATTTTATTTTCTTGGCTTTCAGTTTTATATGCAGCTGACTTATGCATTAAAAACTATTAGATAACTTTAGTGTAGTTGAGTTCGCTGTGAGTTTTGCCGCTGGCCAAAAAAACTTTAATTTGACTTTTGCAAAGAAAATTTGTGAAAATGAAAGAAGGATATATATATATCTCAATGGGTTTTTGGGCGGCTATTTTTGGTGTAGTGAGCGCCGGTCAATACCCTCAGCAGCTGTCAGCAACTGTGGCTTACTCACATGCCACTGCAACCCTAGAATTGGCTTCAATTTCCTTTCAGCATTTTGTGTTTTTTCCTCCTTCTGCCGCTCACCTGTATTTTCACCAAAAAAACTTTATGTGGCCTTACTAAACTCGGGCAAAAGAAATGAAAAGCTGCAGAAAAAGTATTCGGCAAGTAGTTAAGCTGTCTTGCTCTGGCATTCACGTAGTGCTGTTGCTTGCCCCACTGCGCAAACTATTTAAATTCGGCGTTGGCCTTTTTTTTCCGTTGGTTGATCTGCACGCAAAAGTTTGCTATAAATAATCTTTGCATTTTTATTGTGCATTTTTATGCATTGAGTGCTCGGGCTCGATATCGGAGTTAGCTTGCAAATAAATATGAAAAGTTTTATTTATGTTAGCCGCCCGGGCTCAGCCGAGCCCCAAAAAGTCCGCTGGCGTTATATTTATGGCATTTGTTTGCCAACAAGTTTCAATAGCTCAATCACGCCATTGGCCCACCTAAACAAATAGAAACCTCATGCAATATTCCTATCCACTACTTCGCTCCACTGGCATTCCATTTCGATTTCAACTGGTATTTGACTTTCTTTTGTTTTGCTGCACACAGCTCGAACGACAAACATCATCAATGTGAGTGCCGCGTGGCTTGTGCTGTGCTGCTAGCTGCTCCTGGGGGCAATGAAATCGAGGAAGCTGCCCAAGGTTTGTGGCCTCAACTGCTTGACCTTACTCTGTATACCGCTGGTGTTGCCCATCCTAAGATGCACGGCCGCTGGCCCTGGCAGCGGAGGCAGCGGCAACGGCGGAGACTTCGACTATCGCTTGCAGCGGGTGAGGAACGTGCTGAAGGAAGTGCCCCTAATCGATGGCCACAACGACTTGCCCTGGAACATACGCAAGTTCCTCAAGAACCAGCTGAAGGACTTTCACTTCGGCGGCGATCTGCGCGAAATGGCGCCCTGGTCGTCGAGTGCCTGGAGCCACACGGATTTACGTCGTCTCAAAGAGGGCATGGTTTCAGCACAGTTCTGGTCCGCCTACGCTCCATGCTCCTCGCAGCATCTGGATGCGGTGCAGTTGACGCTGGAACAGATCGATCTGATACGACGACTGGTGCAGCTCTATCCACATCACATGGCCCTGGTCACCAGCGCAGCTGGCATCGAGCAAACTCATCGTACGGGCAAAATCGCCAGCCTGATTGGCGTCGAGGGTGGCCATGCGATCGGCACCAGTCTGAGCGTTTTGCGCATGTTCTATCAGCTGGGCGCACGCTATCTGACACTCACACACACCTGCAATACACCTTGGTAAGTCAATTATCGTGCATCCAGCGAGAGGGCAAAGCATTGACTCTGCATAAATGCTTACAGGGCGGACTGTTGCAAAGTTGACGAACCGGGCAAATATCCACACATAGGCGGACTCTCCATATTTGGCAAGGTGAGCTATAGAGATGAGTAGAAAGCTTTTAGTTAACATAAGTAAGTTATATTATATATTGTAAGTATTTCATATTCAAATTGGAAATATATATTAGACTACATGCACAGATGCTCTTTACATCACAACTTTTTCATATCTCTTCCACGTTTCGTACGGATTGTGGAGAAACGTTGCTGGCCAATACTAAATAACATTCAAAATCAAAAATTCGAGCAAATAATGAGATTTGGCAGAATGAGATTCAGGCGACACATGAAAGAAGAAGAGTCAAAATAAAATTGCGATTCGCTGGGAGAAAGTCAAATGGAGTCTGCAATGCCCACTGGCGATGCGTCACAATCACCCCCAACACCGACACCTACAAATATACATATAACTATATATGTACAAAGAAACGCTGCACTTCTTAAAACATTAGCCACATGAAAAGGGACTTCTTCCGATCGTAAATAAAATAATGTCCATTTTTTGATTAGCATAGAATTTAAGAAAAAAATTCGCCCCTTCATGTAAATAGTAGAGATGGATAAAAGTAGTTGAAAAAAATATATAACAAGAGTAAATTTTAGATTTTATAGACGCAAAAGTATTTCTTCCTTTTGATAAATTTTAATCTGACCTTAGCTCACATTAATTCGTGTGCTTTAGCATTGCCTTAACAAATACTTTTAGCCAACACATTTCTTAACTTTAAGTAATAACTTGCATTAATTCTCTTCTTATCCTACGCAGCTTGTGGTGAAAGAAATGAATCGCTTGGGCATGATTGTTGATTTGTCGCATGTGTCGGTGCCAACAATGTTGGATGCTCTGGCCACCTCCCAGGCGCCGCTCATATTCTCGCACTCCTCGGCGCATGCCATTTGTAATAGCTCTCGCAATGTTCCGGATCATGTGCTACAGCGAATTGTACGTAATGAAGAGCTCAGTTTATGCTGAACTGGACTTTCTATCTGGCTATCTTTTGCTTTTGCAGGCCATCAATGGGGGTCTGGTTATGGTTGCATTTTATCCGCACTTTGTCAGCTGCTCGGGTCAGGCGACACTGCATGACGTAGTGGGTAGGTTATGCGGTCTCTGGAATAACTTCTAACTGAAGTACTAACTTGTATTCCCCTTATGCATTTTTCAGCTCACATAAACCATATACGCGAGGTGGCGGGCATTGATCATGTGGGCATTGGAGCTGGCTACGATGGCGTCAATCTGTAAGTCAACAAAGTTTTAAAATAGTTTCGGAGTATTTTTTGAATATTTAAATGGTAGTTTCTTGGTATTTGATTGGTGCTTTTTGTTTGTCTGGTCTTTTTACAGCGTGCCCAAAGGCTTAGAGGACGTATCCAAATATCCGCATCTCTTTGCTACACTGCTCGAGTCGGACAAGTGGACAGAGGGGGATATAGCCAAGCTGGCTGGCAGGAATTTTATACGCGTCTTCAACGAAGTTGAAGCGGTGAGTAGTCTGCGCTATTCGTATGCCAAAAAAAATGCAGTTTTCGGTCATTTGGCATTCCATTGTTCATTTTGTGTGCATTGGCAACATTTTCTGCATGGCTTCGACTAGTTGTGTATTATACCTTGGGGATTAGGGCTTAGTCAGTGCTCTAGACAAAAGCACATTTCTTGGTCAACAAAAAACATGTCCTCCATTGAGCCAGTGCTCAGCTAGCCCGAAATAAGCCACCAAGAAGCTGATGCTGAAGTTGTAGCTGCTGCCGTCGGCATTCTCCAGCCCGCTTGTTATTGCACTTGGAAAATTCCTTTCAAAGGATAAAGAGAATAATGTGGCTTTGCACTGGAATTTGCACATACTTGGTGCGGATAGCAGACGGACCAAGAGCGGCACAAAACGAAATGGAGCAAGACTCTAGACTCTAGAGCGTCTCTGGCGTCGAAAAGACGCAAGTGAAATAATTTTAAAAGGATTTTCAAATGGTTATTCCGATATTTATACATGAGCATGACCAGCAGTCCAAGCAGTAGAAGCTGATGCAGTTTGTTTGCGGATGTGGTCAGCTTGTTTGCTATGTGCTTGGCTGGCCCGGATCGGCAAGCTTGCAGCTTCTGTTTGTGCCTTTTGCCAGCACAACTGTGGCTGTCACTAAAGCTGCTGTTGCTTCTCCTTAAGCAACATTCAATTTAAATCAATACGCAATGCTTGACTGTTGCACTCTATGCTTTTGTGTGTGTATATGTCTGCGATTGTGAGTCTTTTGAGCAGGCTACTCTATTCAGTACGAATGCCACTCAATGCTTAGCGCCATTCAGCCAAGTGTGCCCAAAGCGTTTGCTCTACAGTCGAATGACTGCCTGAGCCAACATTTTGGCTCTAACAGCTCTAACGGGTAACTATGGCATGTCAAGGATCTTTGTGCCTATACAAAAGAGTGTATATTTTTTTAAGCGAAGCAAACTGCGTGTCTTTTGAAGCCTTTTTAGCTACTTGTTCAGGGATTGTGAATTTAAATACGCATATTTAAGGTTGAAACAATTTATGATTTAATTGATAATCAGATAAGATTAAATTGGCTTTGAAGAAACATGGTTTTCCTTCTCTTGGTCTAAGAACTAAAAAGGAAACTAATATTCCATTTATATCCTCTCTTATTCGCAAGCCACTCTGTTATTATTGCTTTGGAAATAGCTTTTGTTAAGAAACTAATTCAAAATGTCCGACTGGAGTTTGTAGCTGAACGGCAACGGTCATTTTAAGATTTAATAACAAATATAAATCATACGCCCCCTTGAACTCGGCCGCTGTGGCTCGCATTTTATTGCTATTGCTCATTAAAAATCCCCCCCAGCCCAACTCCAACTGCCTCGCTCATAAGTTGCGCCTCACAAAAACGAGATGCCACAGTATTTTTAATTTCGCGCTTGTCTCGGCGTCTGCGAACTTTAATCATATTCTCTCTGGCTCACTGTCTGTCTCTGTCTCCGTCTCTGTATTGTCTTCTTGCTCTGCTCTGAGCCGTCTTATCTGCCTGCAACATTGTAATTAGTTTTGGAGCTCAACGCTTCTTTTCTATGTGCATTAAGCAAAAAGCAAACTAGTATATCCCAGCAATGGCTCCTCTATGTGATTACAATGCTTATTTTTATATACATACTTACTTAGTAGGGACATTAAAAAGTGTTGCCGGCTCTGGCAAAGCGGGTGATTAAAATCGCAGCGCTTTTATTGCGTTTTGCACTCAAAAACAATGGAAAAAAATATATATATTTCTATATATATTTATATTTGTATAAAGGGCAGCCATATAGTAAATATAAATATGTATTACTGGCTTTAGTGCTGTTTTATTATGTGGCATAATGCTCATTAAAATTTGTGCTCGCATTGTAATACTTTGCGTTGCTCTTTTTGCTATTTGTTGCAATGAGTAACTCAGCCACAAAGTAATTAAAAACGTTGCCCAAGCGCACATTTTATATTTGAGTATATATTTATTTTGTATTTTTGTGTGCTGTGTTGCTTTGATCTAAGAGCCTCCCGGCCAAAGGCTTGATAAAAAATCAGAGCGCTACTCCCATTTATTGAGCTTGGTGACCCGAATTCACAATAAAATATATATTATCGCAGCCAGCGTCGCCTGTAATGTAATTAAATGAACACAAAAACCAGTTCAAATGTTCAATTATTAGACGCTTAATGCTCTTTCCCCAGAGAGCGACCCCATGGACCCTGAGCACATTGCCGCAGTAGGTCAACAGGGAAAGGACTCTCATCTCTCCCAGAGTGTGTGTGTTTGTCTGTGCTTATATTTGTATTTGTGTGGGTGTCTGGAGTGGGCGTTGGCATCGTTGTGATAATTAAGCAAGTCATAGAAATTAGGCAAAAAGCCATTTTAATGATTGTCATCTCTTATGCACACACACACACGCATACAGATGCCCATTTGATACCCTTTTAATGCCGGACACTCACGAGTATGAAGCTTTCAAATTGATGTTCTTGTTCGCTGTTTGGGCTTTAATACGTTTGTTGCATGTATATTTTTTAAATATATAATTTCATTAGCTTGCCTGCCTTTAGTTTTAAGTTTATATAAGATAATAAATTGTTTTATTTGACATCATTTAATATTTTTTCTTTTTAAATCAAATTTTGAAGTAATTCTTAGGATATATAATAATTTAAACAAACTTTAAATATAATATAAAATTTGTATTTTTTGTATAATTATTTGTATTTTTTAATCACACTTTTTATAACATTTGGCAATGAAGATTCTAATTAATCAATCAGATTTACAGTAAATTTAATTATTTTTATATTGTATTCATATACATTGATCTACATTTTTTATTCAATAGAAGTATTTTTAATTTGTTATCAGTTTTTATATATAAACTATTTAATATTAAATTACTATTTAACCTTATTTAAAACGCAGTTTTAATTTTGAAGCGTATTTTTTTAGGCTATACAAAATTGCTTATTTTCACTAATTTTAGTTTAATCATTTTATTTTTTTTATGACTTCATCATATTATTCAGAATTTTATCTTATATACTATAAAGAAAGCAGAGTCTTCTAAAGTACTTTAAATTTTATAGAACGCCCACTAGCTAGCCGTTAGCCCATAAGTGTGGCGTAGTAGTGATAAAAATAAGCGAAATTAGGGCAATAGAGATTTGAGGCAGCTCATGGGAATGCCACACAGTTCGGTTCATGCTGTGGCGCCTCTTCAGTGCGACCCAACAACAACCACAAATGACTGAAGGGTAAGGGACCATACGCAGGGGTGAGTTGCTGATGGGGGTGGTTGGGCATAGTGCGGGGCAGCCATAGCCATGAACATGATAATTTTCTTGACGCCAGTTTTTATCTAGACAAAAGCAGAGGCAGCAGTGGCAGCAGGGGCTGCCGACGCAGTTGAGGCAGTTCAGCCAGTTCAGGGCCTTGTGCTTGTGTTTGTGTGTAAATGTATCTTTTATTTTAGCCTTTTATGCGAGTATCTAATGCGAGCATGGAAAGGCATTTGGCACGACACATAGCCCAGCTGGCGGCATTGGGCAGAAGTTCTCGGCAAATGGCAGCAATTTGTGCGAGACAAATTCATTTAAATATCCTTTAGCTGGCCTGTGTGTGTTTACACTCCCTGTGCGTGTACGTCTGAGTGTGTGTGAAAAGTGACCTTCTTACAATTGATTTGGTTAGCATGGAAATGGCGCAGCGGCTCTTTAACAGCCATTTTTGTTTTGAACTTTTCACTGAAATGTAACTGTGAACTGTGCTTTTCATTACTGCAGCTCAAAGCGGCCGGAAAAGCGCTGCCAAAGGCAGAGCCCACAATAGGACTTGTGGCATGTTGTGCGGTGGGGCGGTCTATGGGGGCGTGGCCAAAAGTGCAATGACTGCGTCTCACAGTCTGAGCCAAAAGCTGACGTTTTATTGTTGTTTGTATGTGGCACGCAGCGCGCATATAAAGCCTCATAAAAAAGTCGTAAATTCGATTGTTATACGGCTTACAAAGCACCGGAAATGGGCCGAGCGAGCTGGCTGTGCTTCTGCCCCACCCCCTGGTATTCCCCTTCGGCTGCTACCCTTCTCTGACTACGACGACTGCCTTTGCGTCCCAGCTGTGCGGCCTCTAAAGGTGTTTGGTGTTGAAAACAAAACATTTTTGTTGTTGTTGTTGTGTTTGCATTTTTGTTTTCGTCCTTTATTTTTGTGTTTTTTGCCTTTGCATATATTTTGTTTTATTGTGCCTAACGTTTCGCTTTTCCTTTACTTTATTTTTTTTTTGCACGGCATAAAATGTGCTTCAAACTTTTCTGTAAGGCACACACACTAGGTTGGCCAAAACAATCGCGAAAGGCTCGAAAAAGCTTCACTGTATGCTTAGAAGTCCTTTAAGGACTCGCTGTAATGTATTGCCAATACGGCCAGCGCATAGCCCTGTAATACGGAATTTACATATGAATAATTTAATGGCAATATGATTGCTTTATAAGTAGCTGAAATCCGTAAAGTGTAAAGATTTTTTTCATATAAACACGCTGCTGCAGATTGTGTGAATAATTGAACCGTAAAAAGTCACTAAACAAAGTTGATTTGCATTTTTTTAAAAATTGTTCAAGAATTTTCCGCAGTTTAAAGTAAAGTTTATTAGCGCCTGCCAAAGTGTTTGAACAATATTTTTAGGTGGAAAAATATTTGGAAAACAAATTTAAACAGTTATAAATAGAATTAAAGAGCTATTAAAGCAGCTAAGATACGACTCGCGAATTTTGCAATAATTTTCGGATGTTTAAAGTGCTTAAAAATAATTTTAAAAAAATTTATTTTTGACCATAGAAAATGAATATTAATAAGAGAAATATCCTTTTTTTAAATAGCCCAAAAAAAAAATATTCACAAATTTATTCATATTAATTTCAGTTAAGTACTATTCTCCCAGACATATTTTCCGCCTTTTTGGAAATTAATATTGCATATAAAAATTCACAATCATTTGAACTTCTTGTTTGAATAGTAAGCAGAAACTTTGATCATTTGCTTGGTATAGCTGAAAACTTAAATGGTTTACACAAAATTTGTGGCAAATGCCATAAATTTTCATTTCATTTTGCATGCGACTCTTGGCAGGCGCAATCAAACTTAATTCATATTGCGCATACGCCCCATAACACACAAGTTATAGTTGAAGCAGTATTTAAAATGTGTGCTTTATTTGGCTTTCATTACAGGTACGTGATCAAATGGACTTATTGCGAGTGCAGCCGATTGATCAGTCAATCCCAGCTGAGGACATTATGGGCAGATCCTACTGTCGCTATCAAGGACCAAGAACGTGATAATTTCTTCATATGTAAAGTTTCAGCATTCACACAAGCACATACACACATCAATGCCAAAGGCCAACGAACAGAGAGACAGAAGAAATTATGTCAAGCGTACGTGTTGTAAAGTGAGACTTGTTTTAGGTTAATTGACAAAGTTTTTTCGTCGTTACATGCGAGCATTTGTTTTTATAGTATATCTATGTTCAAGTTGTGTGTCACACACACATAGACACACGTTTAGTTACACCCACACACATGTACTTTGAATCTCTCAGACTCCACGTGGCAGCTGTTGCCAGGCAACATTGTGCGCAGCTGGCCGTGCACATAAACAAATACAAAGTGGCATAGGGGTGGCCACACACACAACTACACGCACACACACATACGCATGTCCACCCACCATATGCCCTCCTTCTGGCAGCCACTACAACACTGAGGTTACCATAGCTCAGCCAACATTGTGTAAATATCATTGTCATGTTTATTTTCATCTTTAGCACTTAGTGAGGCAAGGATCCGCAAAAAGAAAGCAGCAAAAAGCAGCGAATGCCCGGACAAAACCAAAAAGAATGAGCGTAAAACAAACGTACTGAAAAATACAAAAAAAAAAAACAAGCAAAAAATGAAGAAAAGACAAAAGCTGGTGAACAAACTAAGTAATAGGAAAAGTGAAAACATTCTAAGCCTGGATTCAACAAACGAAAACAAAAATGAAAAAAATTAAAAAAAAACAACAAAATATCGTCTATAAATGTCCTCTTTCAGGCGAAGAATATTGAAAGAGGTTCATTGCGTATTTTTTCTATGAAAAAGTTATTATTATAAAAATATTAAATAAATATTCAAATATATGCCTATGGAAACTATATTATGTGGCAAATTTCCCCTTTCTTTATAGAACATTTAATGTCATTCGAATTTCTTTATGTTCTGCTACGCTCAGTACAGTTGCAAATTCATTGAAATTTCTTATTAATACATTAGTTGATTACAAAATTTTAATTTTGTTATACCATTAAATTAGTTAAATTAAATTAAACAATTAATTGGTTAATATGTAATAACCAAGAAAAAAATCCACGCGCGATTCGCATCACTTGGCTTTTAATCATCAATTTTTAATTGATATTCAAATTATATGAACTAGGTATCGTATACTTAATAAATCCAAACAAATGTCAACCCGCCAAAATAAAAAGAACAACAAACAAAAAATAAATTCACAAATTCATTGAAAAGTTTACAAAACAAGGAAATTGTAAAGCAAATACTAATACCTAACATTAAATAAAAGCTAACAAAAATAAAAATAAAATACAATATATAATTGTCAAACTATAAATGTTTATGCCAGAACCATGAAATGAACATAGCATATTTCAAATATATATATATAGACTTATATATAAATAAATATAAATATAGAATTATTTACTTACATATTTTTTTAATAATTGAGTTCAGCAAAAATAAGTTCACAAACAATTTTCAACTAAAATGCGAACAAAGCTGCGATTGTTTGTTGGGCTTGGACTGGGGTCTCACCTGGTGCAGCAGCCGTTAAACAATTAAACAAAGAGAACAACAGCATTTCTTTTGTTGAACGAAAATACCAGAACATATTTAACGTTTAAGCGGGGCGATAAAAAGTGAAGGTTAAAGTAAAACAAAAACAAAAAGAAAAACAGATGTGATGAAAAATTTAATTATATGAATTATGAATATGAATTATATATTGTAATAACAATGATTATTTAATAGCTTAAAGGAAAAGGTTTACAGTATAACACAAACACAAACACAAAAACACACATACAACTACCGAAAGAGCAAAAAACACAAAAACAATGTTTAAACAATTTCTACTGACCAGCAGCAGAGGCTGAAGCCAGTTGTAAGATTTGCAACATAAGCGAAATAAATTTATTGATTTAATTGTACAACTAAAGATAAAAGATATTATTAATATACTTAACTGTACTCCTATAGATAATTCCATTGGAAAATTATATATATACTTATATGTTATGTGTATGGCTGAACTCAACAGAAGACAGAGTGATCAGCTTACTACTCTTGTAAATATTTGTATGAATAAAGAATTGTATGATTATGTGTAAGACATGAATTAATAATTATCATAAAACGTTGTGGATAATAACCAAATTGAGCATTCGTAAGTGTATTATGAATAAATGTCATAAATGGCCAGAAAAATAAAGATAAATACATTGAAAGTCTAAAAATCATGAATAGAGTTTGACTTTAGTTCAATTTTTAAATTTATGAAGCTTTTATCAAACTAAAGAACCGAGCTTAAGCTTGACTATATTTTCTAGCGTCGCAGGTTACAATTAATTCATAACTTGTAATTAAATTCAATTCATATGCATTTTTCACTCTATACCCTGATATCCTGATTTCCCATATTCAATGGGATCAGTGTATAAAAATAGCTATTCGAATCATATAAACAACTGCAAGCCATTAGTGCGAGCCGCTTATGCAGAAATTATTTTTAATCCCTTCATAACCCATAAGCAGCTTGAGGTTTTCATTAATTAGCAGAGCTCCACCTTAAGAGTGCATTGAAAAATTACTGGCAATCCAATGAGCTTGCTTTTAGAAAGCTTATTTGCATGCTCTGACTGCGAAAATAATTCTACTTACATGGATTTCGCTTTTCGAAGTGCTCTCCCCGTTGTCTGTGTGCTGGAGGAAGACTTTTCAACAGCCATCAACGCTGAAACACTTCCTGGAACTTCAAATCCTTCGCCATCGTACTTGCTTCCCTGTTGTTATTGCTGTTGTCATTGTTGATGTTGTTGTTGTGCTGATTGCACTCGAAACACACACTCAACAAACACTTCAGTCACACATCCGCATCCTGCAGCTGGCGCTTTTACTTTCCGTCTGTCTGTCGGATTGTCCCATCCTGTTAGCTGAGATATGTGCACAGAGTTCGTCTGTCAATTTGTTAAAAACAAAGCAAAGATACCAGATTCTCACTTCCCAGCTTTGCTGTGCCAACAGATACCCCTTCACAGTAAGTTTGCTTAATCAATTTGCTTATATTTTCAATTCAGTTAAGTTCAGCTCACTGTGCATACCCATTTATGTTTTGCTTGAGGGGTATCTACGTATATCGATCCAGCAACAACGCTGTGCTTATCTGCGTGCATTTTGGTAAAAAGCAAGCATTTTATTTCATTTCATTCCATTTTATTCGCCCAGCACAGCTGAAGATAAAAGTCCGGTCGAGTTCAGTTGCAATAAAAAACGCCTGCTATCGCCCGTGGTCCCCTAGCCGAGTAATTTATGTGTGTGCACTGTGTGGCCAAAAGTTCAAACATTGAAAAATCATGAAATTTATCTCATTTTGGCAAAGGTCAAGTTGTGCTGCGTTCAGTTAACCCTCTGCTCCATCAGTTCTCGCGTGCCCCCCACATAATTCAAATGCTCATAAAAATTTACAAATATATTTGGCATTTAACAATTTTGTGTGCTGCCACGCGCTATATTCAAAATAAAAGTTGTATAAAAAAGCTATGCATCAAGCCCAATGCATGTTTTACATAAAATTTCAATTAAATTGGATAAAGTTTCAGCGACGACAATGTCCTTGGCAGCAGCAGTTGGCTCTCTGGAACGTGCGACTTGCCTAAATCATTTTGCTGGCAGTCGAAATTAAACTGGCTTTGGCAACAAATGTTTAACAAAAGTTGCTGCCAGCACTCGGCAAGGGCCATCAGTTAGCCCAAAAAGCAATAAAAAGCACAACAAAATCGAAGCAAAACTAACGCCGAATGCGTCGCGAAACATGCGGCGTAAAACTAACCAGAAATAAAGAACATTATACATTTTTGAGCCCCAAAGGGAGCTGAACGAGTCAAAGTTTCTCTCGCACAAACTCTAAAATAAAAGGAGATCTATGAGACGATATAACCTTTTATTAATATACTTTACTATTTTGCTTACTGGCTTGAAAGTTAGACTTGATGTGTTGGTTGCTTTTCCTTCATTTAAAACTTTTTTATTGTTTAATTTAATAGATTTAAAGTTAAACTGTATTAAGTTTCTTTATTTATTTTTTTAAAAAAAAGTGATCAAATAATTTAGTTTCTTTTAACAATAATATACATAAATAGAAAAGTCTGTACAAATTTATATATTTTTAAAATGTATATTTAAGTACGCAAAATGCGAAATCCTTTCTTTGATTTCATATTTTATACTTTAATATATGATTTCATATATATCATATTTTTATTTTTAATTTCACATTTATTATTGAAATTGTAATTAATATATCGTTCAAAACCGAAAAAAATATATTTTTTCATCTCTTGTTTTATATCCCAAAAAAATAATCATCTAATATTCATGTAGCTCATTGATTGATATTTTATTTCACAGTTTTTATATTTTGAATTGTATCATTGATACTAATTTCTTTTTTAATCACAAATTTGTTTACTATATTTAATTATTTGACTGATATTTTACTTAACAGTATTGTGTATCTTTTACTTTTTATGATGGACTTCAACAATATAAATAAATCTCTTTTTGATATTAATCATATTATATTATCTTATATTAGTTCAATTTATTGCCCAACGGTATCTAGTTTGCAGAGCACAATATGTTCAAATCTCTATAATTTAATGGAGCACATATATCATTTTAATATTTAATAAAAACAAATCTTTGTGCACTGTTTAATTTTAATTTAATATCGTTAGAGAAATCGCTTTCCATCGCTGACAAGCACATAAATAAATAGAGCGTACGCAGGGCAGCCAAACCTCGGCAATAATAAATAAATATCAAAAAAGAAAAAGAACGCACTCACAAATAATAAAAAAAGAAACGAAAAAACAAAATAAAATAAATAAAAGCTCAAATACAACTAAACATTTTCGTTTAGTTTCCAATGACGATTTGCTGGCTAGGCAGCCACGCCCACTTGCCATAAACAATGTGAGCGCCCTATCCGGTATGTCCACTGCTGACTCTCTCTTTCCCTCTTTTTGACTTTCTCTTCTTCTCTTTGTTTGCGACTTTTGGTGACCGAGTGCGTCCGTTGCCCCTTGACTGCTACAAGTCCGCCGTAAAGTGCCACCAAAAAGGATTGCTGTGCGCCATAAATTGTTGTATTTTATTGTCCAATTTCTTTTTATTATATTTTGGGTTATTTTTCGCGTTGCGTTTTGCTGCTTATGCTTCATCTACTGTTTCCCTTTTCTTCTGATTTTTTTCACTGCTTTCTTTTTCTGGGTACTTTGTGGCACATGCTGAGCTCGTGTTCTAGCCATGGGCGGAGGGTGGCTCCGGACTGGACCAACTTGGCCATGATTCGCATTGTCGCTTGTTGGAAAATTGTTTTTTAAAATAAAATACACATACACATACACAGATACATACCCAGGCAGTTGACAAACGCTTTCTCATAAGAACAACAGCAACAAACTTGAAGTATTAAATGACGACCCACAACAACGGTAGTTCAAGCTATAACAACAATAGCTGACCCTGGACGTGCGTGCT